TCACAGAAAGTGGGTCAAAGAGAGCTGGGAGTTTACTGGATCCTCAGGGAAGATGGCCAGGCTGCACTCTAGCTCCTGAGAGCAAACATTCTGAGTCACCCCTTGGACACTGACAGTCAGCAGACAGGACCCAAGAGGAAGTTCTTCGCCTCTGCTATGGGAATGGTGACTGAGTCCTGCACCGCAGAACAATGTCCTAGAGCTGACACACAGAGGGAAGCAGCCATGTGACCACAGGCAGAGACTAGGGTGAAGTGGACACAAAGCAGGGCCATATGGTTCCCTCTGCTAGGACCTCAGAGGGTGATGCTCCCCCCACCTAGCAGTTCCTGCATATTCCTTCTCAAGTATTGGCAAAACTTAAGTTTCTTATAATAATCTGAATGGTAGAAAACCAAGTCAAGACCATGTGAAAAAAGATCAGCTTCTCAAATCTTTGAAAGGAAATGCTAGAGAAACTGTTTTGCCCACACTGAGGCATGACCTGCTAGGAAGCCCTGGGGCCCATGCCGGAGCACACAGAGACAAAGCCACAGAAGGAAGCTCCTCTGTGCTGCCTCTGGAGACACACTGGCTGCAGCCACTCAGGATTCCAACCAGCTGTGCATCTCAGACAGGGGACCCACAGCACTTCCACTCACAGGGAGCTGAGTGGGTGGCACTGAACAGGAGCCACGTTAATGAGGCGGGATCACTGTAGCTACATCCTGAGTCAATCTCCTCTGAGATGTAAGAGACCAAGCCAGCAGCACAGAAGCAGAGATGTGCAGAGAGATGCCAAGATACAGCAATGTTGTCGGCCGAGGGAAAAGACAGAGACGGGGACACAGGAATGGAGGACTGGCCAGAAAGTGTGAAGGCAGGGACAAACAGCTTGGAGAACTGAAGCTCCTAAGCCCAGTCTTTCTGTAGTTTTATTGAGAATCACCAGGAAGTAAATAAAGAAAAATCATGAGAAAACAAATCACAAAGAGAAATCTTTTGCAAATGAGGCAGAATTCTTCTCTACTGTCAACCTTATGCTTATCCCAGGAGGGAGGGGTTAGTAAATACAAACTAAGAATTGTAAAAACACCTAAGGTCTGCCTTGACACTACAGGGGGGATTCCAGCTTGTAATCTGTGCTCCTGATGCAGTATTTGGTTCAGTATTAATATATTTGGCTTCCTACACAGGAAGCATGAGCAGAAGTTCAGGGACACAAAGCTGGCTCCTTGAATGACACTTCCGGACTCCTGACCTTGGAGAAAACTATCTGCTTGTTAAAGAAGCTCATGGATGGCATTTCTGTTAGAGCAGCTCTAAGTGGCCAAGCCAGTTGATAAAAGCTACAGTATATGAAAAATGCTTATCCTAACTCATAACAAGCAAATACAAGTTACAGCTATAGTAGGGACCCCTTTTCTCTCATCCATAGTGAGCTTGGTGGAAAACCTATGTTGCCCAGCTGTGACAAATCTGCAAAAGAGCAGATTGCCAAGAAGTTGCTCCATGCTCTTGGAGAGCAGTATTTCTAAATTTTAAACAACCAGAACCTTTGATCCTCAAGCCCATGTCTGAAATTATAGGCCTTGTCTACATGTCTTGCATGTCTTAAGAGTTTAAGGAAGTGCTGCTACACGGAGGTGGCTTTGTCCCCCCGAACTCCAGGTTGACCAGTTGATGAAGACCCAGGGGACCCCACTGAGCAGAGGAGAACTGGCTCCCTGGGACACTCAGGGGCTAACTGGCCAGAAGCCAACGGCCAAGACTTACTTCTGAGGGACCTCTAGGTTAATTCAAACTGCCAACCTTTCTATCAGTAGCAGTATTTAACCCTCTGCACCACCAGCGACTTCTCTTTTGCCTCCCAAGCAGACACTTGGTGGCATGGAAGCATTTCTGATGTTCACCACTATGGGCGGGACAGCACTGGCACCAGCAGTGGCGGGACCCTGCTCTACACCCTGCCTAGGCAGGCCTTCAGTCAAGTATCATTTTCCCCAAATGTCAACAGTGCTGGTGTCCAGCCTGACAAACTCCAGCTTGAAGTGATGACCCACGATGGCAACAGTTAATCAAGAACCTCTACAAAGTCCTAAAGAGCAATGATGTCAGTTTAAAGACTAAGGCACGCCCGAGCTAAGCCATCATATTTTCAGTTGCTTCACGTGCACCTGAAAGTAGAACAATGCATAAGGAGGATCAAAGGGCCGATGTTTTTGAGCTGTGGTATTGGCAAAGAGGACTGAATATGCCACAGACAGAAAAAACCAAACCAAACAACTCAGGCATGGCAAATGTTCGCTCGGTGCTCCTGGTAACACTTTGACTCTTACTTTGGGCATATTGTCAGGAGGGGTCAGTCCTTGGGAAAAGACCTCGAGTGTCAGAGAAGACCTTCAACGAGGTGGCCTGGCACAGTGATGGCAGAGACGGTGAGGATGGCACAGGGCAGGGTGAGGTCTCTGTCTGTCATACAGGAGTCCCTGTGAACCAAGTAGGTGCATGGGCACCTGACAACAAATGGCACCCAGACTCAGAGCCTGCAGGGAGACATGCAGGCAGAGAATGACCCACTGTGATCCCCAACTTCCTCCCACCAGAGCCCATGTCCCTGAGCTCCCCACCCTAGCCCTCTCCCAGAGCCAAGTTCCCAGTGCCTGCTGGCCCTCCCCTAAAACCTCCCTCCATATCCCAGTGCTAAACCCTTCCTGAGCCTAGTCCCAGCCCTTCGCCCCTGCCCTCAGCTGCTTCCAACTTCCCTCAGGCCTTGCCCCAACACCCTCCTGTACCATGTCTCCTCCCCTTCCAACTCCCTCCAGACCTTGGAACTCAACTCAGAGGGCCTCTTCCCCAGCCTCCCATCACAGCTGTGCCCCTGAACAGCCTCTGGGGCCACAGTGGAACTGGACGCCGAGAGACGCTGTCATTCAGCAGACCAGGGAGCTGCTTAACCCTGGTTCCTGTGGAAAGTGTGTCCACTAGTGAGTGCTGGGGGGAGGGCCAAGGTGCTGCCCCCTCCCCTGCTCCCAGGCCATCAAGGAGCAGCTAATCAGAGTTAAAGTCTGAGATCTCTGTGATAGTGGTTAAATCCATGTTGTCAGAAAGTGTTGGACTCAGCCCTTCCCAGGCAGCAACTTCACACACATGAGAAAGAAACGTTGCTTTACCGGCCATCAGCATCGGATTGCACCCTGCGGTCCAGAGGGTTTCCACTGACCTTGGAAGTGGACAGTCCATCTTCATCTGGAAGCTGCCCCACGAGCTCACAGCAACCCACCTCCACTGTCACGTGGTCACTGCTCATGCCTTGAGTGGGAGGAGGTCAGGTCACCACACAGGAGGGGAAAACCCTACCACAGAGCCAAGGCCTCAAACAAACCTCTGGTTATTTCTTCCTTGTGATCCGTGATGTGCCTCATTGGATGCACCTGTCCATTCTGGAGCGGTGAGCAATCCGAGAGGGACATAGCTTCTGGGGTCAGTGGTGCCCACTCTCCCACCCTGCATTCTTCAGTGAGCCAAGGTGCAGGCTGGCCAGGCTCCTATTAACTCTGCAGACGGCAACAACATCCAGCAAAAAAGCAAATTGTCCCCTAATATTTAGGGCTATTATTATATTTTGTGCTGTTTTATTCCATCCAGTTGGAACTGATCCATAGCTGACCCTCCAGTGGGTGTCCAGAGGCAGTTAACTGCATGGGAGGGGGCTGCCCATTCTTCTGCGGAGCAGCTGGTGATTTTGAACTGCATGCCTTTGGGATTGCAGCACAGATTCTTACCACGAGGCCACCAGAGCCTACATAGAGGATTTTAATATTTCATGTTTGAGGAAGAGGGAAATCTCCCACCATACAGTGTTAGGAGACAATTGTCCTGTAGGAATAAATATTTCATACCAGCTGTGCATGGGAGGTCACATCTCTTTATGAAAATACAAAGACGCATTTGAAAGCCAGAAGATGGCTATCTGTGGTGGGGGCGGGGCCAGCGTTGAGTTTCTCTACCTGAGATTGCAAAATGCTCAACACTGAGAAAAACATGGTATCAAGGCTGAACACG